AGCATTTTATTCAGCAACAGGACAAAGGAAAAACATGTCTGCTTCCCTTCGTGTCCAAGCAAACAGCATAAGCAAAAGCTATATACATTGGAAGTTCCCAGCAGGCTGTGCTGGAAGTAAACAGACAACATCTCCACATGCCTGTTCTAAAGGTGGAACAGAACAATATCCTAACCTCCGTCCACAGCCCCTCCGCCGGGGCTGCTACTTCTGTCTTCACCAGCCAACGAAGCCTCCTACCCTGCAACGGCGGCTGGCTGGCTGGAGCCCAACTGCGGCTATTGGGACAACAACTGGGACACATAAAGTGAAGCATCTTCAGGCCTTTTTGCGGGTGGGTGAAAATAGTTCATTCCCCCTGCCCAAAATATAGTCCAGCCCTTCACAAGGTCTGAGGGACAGTGGACCGGCCCCCTGCTGAAAAAGTTTCCTGATCCCTGCTCTAGGGGCTTATGCCAAAGTGCCGCTCTCCATTTTGTTAATCTCCTTCAATGGCCACCCTATTGAGACAGCTGTTTGTAAAAGCCAAGCATGCAGAAAACCTGGTTGCAAAAACAAGCAACTTCCCCCACGAAAGTCCCTCAGCAGCTTTCGTACTGAGCAAGAAATCCAGGGGAAAGAACAGACGGGAGGGATCTCAGCACGGCAGGAATGTAAGCAACTCAATGAAGGAGATAAACAACGAAGTGGCACCAGGCTCTGGGCTTGTGTGACTTCTGAGCACTTCAACTTTACTTGAACTCTGAGAGACTGAATGGTGCAACCATGAAAGATGACAACTCCCGCAGATGGCAAATGCTGAATCTGGTGATGCTGAATGGGAGGTCATTGGTCCTCTGCTGAGTTCGTGGGGAGCAAGCTTGTATGCAAGGAGAGAGATGCAAGTTTGACAGGTCTTCTACAGGTTGGAAGGAATGTTTACTCTGAGTTACTACCCTTGTAGCCCCAGTTAGGGATGATTTCCTGTGCAAAGGAGAGCTCCAGTCACATAGCCCATCCACACGCAGGGCACTTCCAGACAACCTGTTTATTGAGCATTCATCCTGATCTGTTTGCTGGGAGTTTAGGTGACACCATATCAAAACAAGTGTTAACCCACACATTTACCTGTAATTTTCCTTATAGCATAAAGTCCGAACTCCTGAGGAAGAGGAGTTTTGCAGGGGAAGCACAAGGCTTCCCAACCAACGATAATTGCCCAACCTGAATTTGCTGGCACGTAATTAAATCCCACCTGCAGAATTGTGGCAGCACTTAAAGTGATGGAGAGCAAAGAAAGGAGCTTCCTTCTCAGTTTCCCTACATACAGTGGTGCATTGAGTGTTGAGAAGTTTGTCCTTAGTGGTAACCAATAACTGAAGAAAGAGGTAGAAGGAGGAAGAGAGCCTGAAAACAGGAGTGTGACTGGAGGTTATCAATAAAGTCCTCTTTAAGGATTGTTAGAATCTTTTTCTTCTGCCTGAAGGGGTAAAAGCAAAGGAGTCCTTCCCAGTCTTACGTGGTGATGACAGGGGCTGAATCTTGGACCTTCTGCTTGCAAATTGTGTGCTCTGCCACCCAGCTTCCATCTTCCGGTAAGCACTGGATGTGCTCTTGAATGTAGTCTCAGTTCACACAGAGCAAAAGGCCTCTACATGAAATGTGTGCAGCCTAGAACATGTCCCATAGCAGTCATGCAGTCACATGGATCTGGGACAGGTTCCTTTAAAACTTTGGAAAAACACTTGTTTTGAAGTGATTTCGGTCGTGCATCATGGAAACCTCCAGCACAAGGTGACTGACTACCACTGCACAAGCAACAGCTTTGACTATGGGAAAAATCCAACTCACCTTTTCAGTTCTCAGAATGATGCTTATCCTCAAGAGCTATGGTGGCAGTACCACCGTGTTCTAGTCGTAGGTCTTCTGGCTACAGGATGGATTCGTGATTGATGCAATTGCTTCATCCCACTTAACAACTCATACAAGGCAAGCCTGGCTAAAGAGGAGGCCTTCGTGAGAAGGCTTGCCATGTCTCCCCATCGCCAACACTGACTGTTAACATTCCTGCGCTTAGCAATTATTCCAGGTTCAAAGATATTTGCATAAAAACAACCTGTCTTAGTTGAGAAGACTTCTGGCCTCCTTTTGGAATAAAGCATTCCTAGCCGGGAACATTTACTGCATAAGAATCATGACTGAAATATTTCAGCTGTGCCTGGGGTTTTCATGAGGGAAGGGGGGAATTATGGGGAATATTTTCCACTATAAAACTCACATAATGCCTGATGCTGGGCCAAAGAAACAATGGGTGCAAAATCTGACCTTCTATGGTGCAGAGGCGCCTATCCTTCTTGTTTTATGTGACTAGGTCAGCTCTGTATTTACATTCATGCAGCTGCTGTGATCCTGTCTCGTTTGGTTCTCAGGTAGCACATGAGATTAACAAAGCCAAGACCTGAAAAACTAAGAAGAGCACTGCTGGATCAGGCCAATGGTCCATGTTATCTAACCTCCTGTTGTCACAGCAGCCAACCAGCTGCCAGGGAAGCCCAAGGGCAGGATCCAGACATCCCATCCTGCAGTTTGCAGCAACTGGTATTCAGGAGCATTACTGACTCCTACTGTTGAGGCACAGCTTAAACATCATTCCCCCTAATAACAAATTCAAGCTATTAGTGTGTAACATTGTTCCCTATAACAGCACAAGCTCCTTCCCGATAATAGCAAACTCTGTCGGAACCATGGGATGGAAAGCCAGCTGGCTTGGCCCCAGCCAGAGTGTCTTCCTTCTCGGAGATCCATCAGTTATCCTCCTCCGACATGTGTCTGCAACTCAAGCTGCTGTGCATGCAAGAGCACACATTACTCAGCAGAGTAAACGCACAACAGATCAGGCTCGAGGCGTGGATACAATACTAAACTACGCATTTATTATACATAAATCAGGGCAATGACAACATGGTCTCTCTCCTTGTCGTTCCTCTCGGGGAGAGAGAAAACAAAAGCAATACAGAGCAGATCTTCCGCTCACAGGACTCCAGCACTCTGTGGTGGAATGTGAACAAACATGTGAAATGTAACAATCCCACATAACTGCAGCAACTCAAGTGGTGAGTGCCAATGGCCTAACCTCCAGCATTCCTCAGATGAAAATAGGGACATTTCTCACTCCTCAACTGACCCTCCTCAACACCCAATTTTTTGTCCCATCATGCTCAGGGGGAGACACCTGAGGTTTGCAATAAATCATGTAAAGAACACCCTAAGTGAGCAATGCCTTTCTCTCACACATCCAGTGAGGACTGAGCATGCTCAGTAGTGATGGTTGTCAGTTGTGAGCAGAAAGATGGAAATCTGAAGTGAGGTGAAATTTCCTAGAAGAGGGTGTGGCTGGTGGTTCCTGAACAAGAGCACACCTGGGAGGAAATGAGGAAAAACAGCAACACTCTGCTGTCCCTTTGCATTTCACTGCTGAACTAACCACCTTTTCTCCAATCTGCTGCAGTAACAAAATAAATGATGGACTTCCAGTTTAAGCTGCACAAGAGTTTTATTCTGTAGAAGAACGTATTTTACAATACCATACAGCAAATGTCCTGATGATATATTCGTACATATGCACATTTTGGAGAACATTCCCGTTTATTTTGAAGTTCAGCTTGTGTCTAAAATCCTATGCGATTTTAAAATGCACTTGCCCTGTTTTGTTTTGTTTTGTTTTGTTTTTAAGAGCCAGAGTTGTGGCTGAGCTGAGAGCAGGCTGCAGGCTGAGAAGCTGAGCCAGAGCCATGCTTGATTTGTGTTTAATTCCTAGGCTTTGACTATGGGAGAAGCAAAACCTTTTGGGGAGTTAATGCTGTGAGCCCCTCCACCTTAGGCTCAGATTATACATGTGTGCAAATAAATCATATATCCTAAATACACCACAATGTCCGCCATCCCTCATTACAAGGAAACTCAACTCTGACTAATCCCTCGCCTGGAACCTGTGGGATCTCTCACTGCCCGGAGACTGGGGTGGCATGTGACAATTGCCATCTACATAGCACTTCAGAAACGGCAAAGCATTTCCCATACATTCTCTCAGATCAACCCTGTAAGACAGGGCAGCTTATTATCCTCATATTTTAGATGCGGTGAATGGGGGACAGGACTACGACGAAGAGAATTGTGGCTTGCCTAATTCCACGTTGTCAGTGGGTGCAATATTTTAATCAGTTGACTCTCTTATCCCCTACTCTATATCCCTTTCCCTCATATTACAAGGAACTTATGGAGAAGAAACCACTGACCATTGCCTATGCTAGCTGGGACTAAGGGGATTTTGAATCCAACAATATAATAAGTGCTACAGGTCCCCCCACTCCTGCAGCAGTCAATGGCTGCCGTGTCCATGGCACAAATGTGCAAATGTTCCAGGACAAAAGCATGGGGTGCATCAGGACAGAATGTCCTAACTTTGCACCAAGACACACTTCCAGGGCTTTTTGCTGTGTATAACTTTCCCAGCCAGGAGCAATGGGGTGCTGTTCTTTGGATGAGCCCTAGAATCTCATTCCAATAATAGCCATGCATATTTTTCCCTGAACAAATATCTCATCTGAATGAGGTCTCTGTGTTGCAGATCTGAATAGTGTAGGTACCAAGAGAAGCAGGATAGCACCAAGGACCAAGAATTGGATCAATGACACACCAAAATCACTCCCTTAGCTTGAGCAATTGCACAAGTTCAAATGATAGAAGAAGGCCCAAGACAGATCGCTCCTGGAAGTGCAAATGTATATGTATACAGAATTCAGTCCTAGAAATAAAAATAGCATTCATTCGTTGGCTGGAGAAGGTGGTCAATGCAAACTTTACAGCTGATACCTGTTTTCTCCAAAGTTTCCTCAGCAATGAATTAATCCACCTGGTTCAAAATGTGGGCACCATATCAAACCCTCTGCTTAAGCCTGCTACATTCATCACTTTATGTATGTTTTTTCCTTATGGTAACAAGCAAGTGGCGCTATCGCAAATTAACAGCAGACTTTTTCCGGTGGTTTTCGACTGAAAAGGATGTTCCGAGAGTTTCCAGGGTTGTCACTGTCTGGATGGATGGTGCTGCGCTCGGTCTTCTCTGGAGCATTCCACAGTAGACCTCCTTGGATTTCCTTCGGAAGTGTTTGCCTACCAGGACAAACAGAATTGGGTTAAGGCAGCTGTTGCTGAAGCTGCAGTAGGCGGCGATCTGACTAGCCACGTCAATGGCTTGTTCAGCCCCACAACCAAGAATAACCCCAATGCGAAACAACGTATCCAAGAACGTGGTGATCTGGAAAGGAAGCCAGCAGACAACGAAGAGAAGAAGGACAAAGAGAACCAAGGCAGTGGCTTTTTTCTCTGTCTGGATAGCTCTGATCTTTTGAAATGTGCTGTTTTGTAAAGCATGGATGATTTGCGCTGTGCAGTAGGTTATGACGCAGAGAGGCATCACAAAGCCCACTGTGTTCAGCAAAGTGTTTGTGATCACTGTCCATTGCACAATTGATGGATAAATCAGAATGCAGGCGGTGACATTGTTTGCTTCGTCATCTTTCAACGATCTAAAGAGGAGAGCAGGAGAGCTCAAGAACAGCGCAGAGACCCAAATGGCGAGGCAGTTCCACTTTGCACAAGAAGGCCGGCGCAGGCGTCCCAGAGACATCGTTTTCACCAAGGCCAGGTAGCGATCAATGCTCACCATCACCAGGAAGTAAATGCTGGTATACAAGTTCATAGAAACGATGGCATTGACGGCTTTGCAGAGGGGCAGCCCAAACACCCAATGGAAGTTACGGCTTATCGTGATTGCCCAGAAAGGCAAACCACAGAGGAGGAGGAGGTCAGCGGCTGCTAAGTTTGCCAAGTAAACTTCGGCCACCGTGCAGCGGCTCTTGTGGAAGCAAAAGACACTGAGGATAAATATGTTCTCCACAACTCCCACCGTGGCAAGAAACCAGAGGAACACTGGCTGGATTTCGAGCAGCCAGTTCCATTCCTGCGGCCAGCCGCAGGAGGAGTTGTTTGTCGTGTTGTGCCAAGCAGACTGGCTCACCCCAGAGTTCCAGGCAGTTGTGACACCATAAAGAGCTGTGTTGTTTTCGGCCATGACAGTGGTCCACGTGGGGGCTGGAAAACAAGGAGGTAAATTTAGACCAGTCTTTGGTGCAATATGCAGAAGCTCAATATGCAATTAAAAACCAAGGGCCAGATTTTTGAAGAAGAGGAGAAGAAGAGTTTGGATTTGATATTCCGCTTTATCACTACCCTAAGGAGTCTCAAAGCGGCTAACATTCTCCTTTCCCTTCCTCCCCCACAACAAACACTCTGAGGTGAGTGAGGCTGAGAAACTTCAAAGAAGTGTGACTGGCCCAAGGTCACCCAGCAGCTGCATGTGGGGGAGCGGGGAAGCGAACCCGGTTCACCAGATTACGAGACTACCTCTCTTAATCACTACACCAAGCTGGCTTTTGGGGTGCATAATCAACTAGCAGAAGCCAGTGCAAGGATTTCCACCAGTGCAACAGGAGTCCTCCACACACACCCCCCAGCTGCAGACACCTTGCACCACCCCCAATCTGCTGTGGAAGGCTAGGGGACCCCATCAGAACAGATTGAGGAAAGCGTTGCGTTACAGCCAGGCTGGGCAGCTCATTAAAAAGATGAAAAACTGCTGCTAAGATGAAAGATGCATTTTGTTGCGGGACTGCTAGCGCCAAGACATTTGAGATTGATCAGGGTTTGTAGGCTAGGTCCCCACACGGCGATGTGTTGTGCATAGGTAACACACTCCCAGCCAGCAGTCAATGTCGGAAAGGGACAGGCATCTATCAAAAAGAGAACACTGTGAACAAGCCTTGAGACAACCTTTTTAAATGTACTGCAATGGCCTTCCCTAAGCAGGCTGGCTGGGGCTGATGGAAGCAGCGGTTAACTGAGGGGTGGGAGAAACAGGCCTGGGGGGGGGGGGCAAGGCACAAAAATAACTTATGAGACTAATGGGGTGTATGATGTGTGGTGACACACCACCACTGCCACAACGAGATCAAACACAGGAGAAGTGGCTTTCAATTTGAACTTAGCCTGATCTTTTATTCCCCTTCCTTCTCTCCCCTCCCCTTTTTATGAAGATTACCCGCTCTGGGATCCCACAGTTAATTCTCCCCTGGTCTCCTCGCTGGCCCAAATAGGACTAATTTAGCCAGCTAGCCCTGGTGATTATCTAATGTTTATTGGATGGATTTCCCCCCTAAATTGACTTTTGAATTCTGAATTTATTGTTATTCATGTTTTATACTGTATTTTATGCTGTTTTCTGTTGCATCAGTTAAGTGTTTTAAATTTGTTGCTAGCCGCCCTGAGCCCGATTTTCTGAACCGAGAAGGGCGGGGTATAAATAAAAATTTATTATTATTATACTAATCAGCCTTCTTTATGTGAGAGCTGGACCATAAAGAAGGCTGATCACCGAAGAATTGATGCTTTTGAATTATGGTGCTGGAGGAGACTCTTGAGAGTCCCATAGACTGCAAGAAGATCAAACGTATCCATTCTTAAGGAAATCAGCCCTGAGTGCTCACTGGAAGGACAGATCCTGAAGCTGAGGCTCCAATACTTTGGCCACCTCATGAGAAGAGAAGACTCCCTGGAAAAGACCCTGATGTTGGGAAAGATGGAGGGCACAAGGAGAAGGGGACGACAGAGGACGAGATGGTTGGACACTGTTCTCGAAGCTACCAGCATGAGTTTGACCAAACTGCGGGAGGCAGTGGAAGACAGGGGTGCCTGGCGTGCTCTGGTCCATGGGGTCACAAAGAGTCGGATACAACTAAACGACTAAACAACAATTATTATAATTTATTATGGTAAAAATGTGTGGTAAAGTGATTTTTTTCCCAGGGGGAGGGCAGCAATACAGCTTCTTGCCAAGGGCACAAGGGACCCTAGATATGTCTCTAGATGGGATTTGTAGAACAAAACATACGGAAGACACCATTTTCAGGAAGGCACGCTTGCACATAGCTGTGAATCAAAAGCTGCTGTGCTACAGCCATTTAGCTAACAATGCTGTCACTACTTCTTCCTTCTTTTGGGGAGTGAAACATCCCCCGGATGCTTGCTTTAGGTGGGAGGATGTTAAGTGGCCTTGAGGGCACTTCCTTTCCCAGAAGCTGGAAAGAGAGAGGCATTGCCAGGAAAAGTGAATAGCAGGCAGCCAAGTTTTGTGCCCAATTTTGGGTGCAATTCAGAGTTCTGGCCTTAAGCTTTAAAGCCCCAAACAACTGGGGTCCAGATTAGTAGTGGGCCAACTTCACCCATTTAATCCTGCCCATATGCTCTTCTTGAGTGTCCATCATCAGTTAGGTTGGAGCACAAAATAGGCAGGACCGTATTGATGGTGGCCCCAAAGCCACATAATTCCTTTCCAATGGACTTCTGCTTTGCGCCTTCGATTGTGGCATTTAGACGTCTCTCCACTTCACAGCTGCCCAGAGCTGACAATCTAAATAATTTCATACCTTCAAAGTGCCCCAGAAAAAAATGGGACATCCTGTTTTTTCACAAAGGATCACTGCAGCCATTTTGGGTGCCACGATTTTGGGTTGCACTCTCACTCCGAAAAAGTGCTCCTGGTCAAAATAGTAAAGCAAGTTTCTATTTGCTACCATGCTGCAGTCACATGTGCCTTAAAAAGTGGTATCAAAGGGTTTAACAGCACCTTGAACTGATTGTCGATATAAGTCTGTCTCTGCCATTAACCAGACAGAAAAGAAAGTACGAGCAGACAGTTAAAAACTGGCAGGCAGAGAGAGGTTTTAGGGAATCACACAGGCTATAAAAGAAACCAGAGAGGATGGATGCAAAGCAGGCAGGGTTACTCTACTGCTGTTCATTATTGCATGGAAGAGAGAATTACAATAATTGCAGCATTCCTAGCCCTTATTTGACAAGTTTCACCTGCTGAAATTCTGTCTTCTGCACAAATATTAAATGCACAGGATCCCAGGATCCCTTTGCATCTTGTCTCCTCCTAAAACAAATAGATTTACCCAAGCATGTAAACAGTCCCAGCAGCTCACAACACCCCCCCACACTTTTTTTCTCCTTGTCAAATATTTCAATTTAATTCCTTTTGGTAACTGGAAAAACTTTGTGGATTTTTAAACAGTATATAAAACTAAGCGGCACATACTTTTTTAAAAAAAATGCTGCTTACTAAAACTAAAGCCAAAGAAACACATTGCACGCAATCTCTATTGATTTGGGGGCAACTAACAGTGGACAAATTTATTAGTAGCAAAACAAAGACAGCTGTCGTGTGCACGAGATGCTCTCCTCTCTCACCTATTTATGGCAACATAACAAGAACAAAGGAAATAGAAGGAGACTCCTTTGACAGTTCCATGCAGCGCAACTGCATCGACCACGTAATGGCAGGATGCTTTCACACACTAAATATACCAAGAATTGGGCATGGGATGCAGTCCAGCATTCTGAAAAAGGGCAGGTTTGCCTGGACGTTCCTGCACAGACAACTGAAAACTCTTCACTGGAATGTTTTTGGTAGCTGAGGGATTTTCTCCCCTAATACCTTTAGTTCTTCTGCACACCTCGGGGTTCCCCTAAGATACCCGATAGCTTATTTGTGTGCAAAGTGTGTTGGGTTCAGTGCAAAGATTTCCGCTTGCATAACGGTGGTCTCTCCAGAGGCGGAGCTAGCCGCTGTGCATCCAGGGGCGGGACCATGGGGACGGGGGGGGGAGCATCCAAGGGGGACGCTGTGGGAAGCGTCCCGGGGGCAAGACACCCATAGGGGCAGAGAGAGCCGCCCATGTGTGGTGGAGTGAGAGGGAGCCGCACCGCTTTGCCAGCAACCTTCCATTATTATTATTATTATTATTATTATTATTAATTTATACCCCACCCATCTGGCTGGATTTCCCCAGCCACTCTGGGCGGCTTTCAACAGAATATTAAAATACTGTAGTCTATTAAACATTAAAAGCTTCCCTAAACAGGGCTGCCTTCAGGTGTCTTCTAAAAGTCTGGTAGTTTTTCTCTTTGACATCTGATGAGAGGGTGTTCCACAGGGTGGGTGCCACTACCGAGAAGGCCCTCTGCCTGGTTCCCTGTAACTTGGCTTCTCGCAGCGAGGGAACCGCCAGAAGGCCCTCGGCGCTGGACCTCAGTGTCCGGGCAGAAGGATGGGGGTGGAGACGCTCCTTCCCTCTTCCTTTTGACAGCTCGGGGGAGGCTTCCCCCCGGAAGCAGCCCAGGAGCAGGGGGCAACAGTGTGCCGCCCCCCGTGACTCCCAAGCCTCCTCTGAGCTGTCAAAAAGAAGGGGGGAAGGATGCTGGCAAAGTGGCACAGCTCTGGCCCTTCCCTCAATGGCTCGGGATAGGCTTGGGAGTCACGGGTGGGCAGCACACCAAATGTCACCCCTCTCAGTGATGACACTCAGGGCAGACTGCCCCCACTGCCCCCTTCCTCTTCCCCTGGATCTCTCCCTCCCCCATGCTCTCTCCCTCCCTAAATCTGCTCCAGAGAGTTGGGGCAACAGATTTAGGGGACATGTGGGGGGAGAAGAGGAGGGGACAACATCTTGTTGCACAAGCAGAAATCCTTGCGCCGATTGAACATTCATGTACATGGGATACAACCCAAGGTTTTGGGAATGTAAGGATTGTTGCCCCAAGAATGAGTTTTTAATTCATAAGTATAGGATCAACCACGTGTCCTCCATTTTGTTACTAATATAGATGACAAATCACCTCTCAGTTTCTATTATCTGTTGTTTCAACATGAGGATGGCTGAAGTGAATTAAGGAGTAACCAGTTTCCACACCAGCAAACAGATATTGCTTTTCTCATTCAATACTTGTCTTCTCTCATGTCATTATGCCTTTTCCCTGTATGTGTTTATATTAAAATTGACAAACACAACCCCAAAAGAAGCAGTTAGAATATAAAAAAGCAAAACAAAACAAGCTGACAGGGAAGGACTCCCAGGCTAACCCCTGTATGTTTACTCAACTCCAGCTGAGTTGTGAGGTTAGTTTTGTTCAGGGCAACCAAAAAAAGGTGCCGACAATGTTAAGTGGAGTGTTCCTGCCATTACATCATTTAAGTGTACTGAGTCTATAAAAAGCCTGTCCTTTCAACCTTTTAGCAGGGGCAGTTACTGGCTGCTTGTAGTAACAAGTTTTGTGTGCCCAGGCGCCGAGGGCCCGCCACCCTGACAAGACCACACAAGACAACGTTCTTCGGTTCAAATTAGGCCACCATTTTATTGATTCTGAGGGAAGGGGGTCCTACGACATACATACAACAAATAGGAGTGACCTCATCAGGATCGCTGGGACCCTGTGGCCCTAGCACCTGCCTGGGCAGAAGCACCTTCTTGGACAGAAGCACCTTCTCCTGGGTCCCTTCAACAGGATACCCCGTTCCCTTGGAGGGGCAGGCAGAGGCCTACAACCTCCCCTCTGATCATGACTAAGGCTACACCCAATGCCTAATCTGCCCAAGTTGTGACAATTACTATGAGGAGGGCAAAACCCACAGACAGGCTCAATTAGTCTGAAGGATAAATTCCTCATCGGCCCAGAATACAGTGACAGGCAAAACCATAGCAAGGTGGTGGAGTTGAACGTGGCAGGAGTGCAGCTTAAATGGCCAACAGCTCCTCCTTTCTTGTGCTCAGCCTCCTTCTCCTACCACTGCCACCACCAGTGGATGCTTCTCCCATCTTTCCCTTATGTGACAACAGCAGGAGGAGGAACTGTTGACTATTGAAGCCACGCCCATCTCCACAATCAGCCTCCTCTTTTTCCTACTGCTGCTGCCACTGGCTGGAGGCTGCTTCCTCACTCTTTCTCCTCCACGGCAAAAGGAGGAGGCGCTGGCCACTGAAGCCCCTCCATGCTCAGCTTTCTCTGACCCCTGATCGTTCTGTACATTAGGAGGTGGGGAATGAGCTGGGCTCCTGGGAGTTGGCACCTATGGATGCCTATAGGAGGGGGTTAGACAGATTCATGGAGGATAAGGAGATGGCTGCTTGCCAAGATAGCTGTGGTACCTCGGGTTACAGACACTTCAGGTTACAGACTCGGCTAACCCAGAAATAGTACCTCAGGTTAAGAACTTTGCTTCAGGATGAGAACAGAAATCGTGTGGCGGCAGCAGGAGGCCCCATTAGCTAAAGTGGTACCTCAGGTTAAGAACAGGTTCAGGTTAAGAACGGACCTCCAGAAGGAATTAAGTTCTTAACCAGAGGTACCACTGTATCTCCATCTGGGAATGACAAATTCTGCTTGTGGGCTTCTCGGAGGCTTTTGGCTGGCCACTTTGAAAGCAGGATGTCGGACTAGGTGGGCTTTTGGCCTAATCTCGCAAGGCTCTTATGATATTCTTATAAATATTTAGCAAAGAATCCCAATAAAACTAGAGGGTTGCATGAAAAGAATGTCTCTGACCCTGTGTGATGCACTTATCCAGTAGCCCTCTTTGCTCTTTCTCATCTCATCTCATCATGGCGATTCCTTGTGAAAATAAATACTATTGCGGGTTTAATGAGAAGCAGAAACTTCACCTGCTTAGAAAGAAGACACCTGGCAAGTGTGGGAGGATGTCAGAGCAGTTGTTTTCTCTTGCTTTCTCAAGGATGCACCGGCTACTTCTTCATGATGAATGTATGCACAAAAATGGCTAGCTCCTAAACAAGGGTGAGAGTTAATGCCAAAGTACAGCCCGTGATTTATTTGTATGATTATACATGAATCACTTAGACCAGAGGTAGCTAACACATGACCCTTAAGATCTTGCTGAATTCCCAACTCCCACCTGCCCCATTGTACAAATCCAGCTTTGCTTTGCTAACTTTAGGCTAGGAATGGGACTGAGTCTTAAACCCATGGAATCAAACTGACAGATAAGGTCTTGTTCAGATGCCTGCTTAACCGACCCGGCATTGTGGGATGGTGTGACACTTAAAATGATCCTCACGTTAGCTGGGGAAGTTTATTGCAGCCTGCCCCCAAATTGGCCAATTGTGGGAGGGCTACTTGACTGGCTGTGCCCCTGGGGGTGGACCAGACTGAGCCTGTAGGTCTCACTCTGGTCCACTCTTGAGTATTTAAATCAGGCCAGTTTCCACCTCCTCGCGCAGCTCCTCGTCCCGTCATCCCTGGCCATTCACCATGCTTGCTGGGGCTGATGGGAGTTGTGGTTCAGCAACATCTGGAGGGCCAAAGGTCCCCAACCTTGTCGTAAGATGGACAGGTCATGGTGGAGAGTTTTGACCAAATGTGACCCACCTGGAGCAGGAACCGGCAAGCCACTCCAGTATCCCTGCCAAGAAAACTCCATGGACAAAGGCAACAGACATATAAAGGTTTAATCCTAGTAGTTCCTTAAAGGCTGCATGCATGCCTTTCATCGTGCCTTCACAGACCTTGCTAGCACAGATCCAGTCTGTATGTAATTAACAGGCTTCGCCTCACTGTTCTGTTTGTTTTTTGTTTCCTGGAGCCATGCCTAGCCATATGGGAGTCCCATTTATCATCACAACAGTTCTGAAAGCTGTTGTGGGGGAGGCAAAGGTCAGTGCACAATTGCGTGCCGACGGCAGCTCAGCCCATCAATACGCTGCACTTCCTGGCATCAGCTAACTGTGGAGGGGATTTCTTTCTGTCCACCTACAATTTTTTTTGGCCCGGATCCCCAGAAAGGAAGCAAGATTTAAAAACTGATCAAAGCGTTCAGGCCAAACTGGACATTATGGGATATATCTGATAGTAGTTACATTGATATATTTTTTTAAAGGAGTAACAGCGAAAGATCACCCCAATTCTGAAATAAGACCATAAAACAGGAGAAAATGGATCTAATCCCTTTCCCCTCTTGCCATTTCCCCTAAGAAGATACCACCTAAGCTGCTATAAAGCCAAGAAGAAATCTGCTACTTGCACCCACAACAGTCTCCTTTCCAGGGCAAAAAGCAGGCTAGGAGGAGGAGGAGGTTAAATTTATTAGAGCAAGAGCTTTGGATGAAGCGGGAGTAATGAGGTGATGTTGGCACATTTGCTATGATACTTTGCCACAGCAAGGTGGGGGAGGGTGGTATCACAAGCTTGGAATATTACAACTTAAAAGGAGATTTGTGCTGACCCATCTCTCCCAGTTCTGTCTGCTCTGACTGGCAGAAGCTCTCCAGGGAACTGAGCAGAGTCCTTTCCCAGCTCAGCTACCCAGGCTGCTTTTCAACATCTCCAGGCATGCTCTGGATTCCTTGCATAGCTTTGCCTCTGCCCTGTGGCTTCCTGTTAAATGCTACCTGTTGTTTATTTTCTGACAAGTGTTATTATGGTGTGGAATCAGATCCCCCTCACCTTCTCAAAATAAAAAAAATAAAAAAAAAAGCAATGCAATTTTGTTCATTCTAATCAGGCCAGTATAGGAATGGAATGGATTTTGTTGACTTTCTTTCCATGCATTTTTCAGGGAGCAATCTCATGATTTGGTGCTTCAAATTTTCAGCTCCATTGCCTGTGCTTTTCTCTCAGCCACCGGCACAGACGTGAAGCCACAGGGCTTTTCGAATGATAGATATCAGCATGTTTTCACTCGTTGATGGTCATTCTTTGGGGGCTAAGTAATGTGGATGTAACTATAAAGACCACAGTGTGAGATGTATCACTCTTCTTCCTCCCGCCTCACTTACAAAAGGTTAACAAGGAATTGGAAGCATTGTGACGATCAGATTACCTAATACCTGTCTGAGAACAGGTCAAATCTTCTCATGCCAATTCCATTAAATTTAGCAACGTATTCCTAGGAGCTGTGTATTTGCCCATAGTAGTTCAGGCTGGTCCAGGGGTTTAATCCACAGCAGGTATCCCTAAGGTAAGATGGCGCCACAGAAAGCATCAAGTAAGTAACTCAGATAAAGTTTGGCAGTAAAAACCTGGCCTTATCTATTATTACTTGATTAGGATGCCTCTTTATTGACCCACAACAAACTTGTCTGACACACAGAGACCTTGGGATAACAAAAATATTACTATGCTACTGGATTGAACCCAGTGCTAGATTTACGTACAAGCTAAACAAGCTATAGCTTAGGGCCCCACTCTCTTGGGGGGGCCCCAAAAAAAATTAAAGGAAAAAAAACGCTGGATGTACATTTCCAAAATATAAGTTAAAAAACAAATAAAACCTACATACAACAACAGTGTTTTGTAGGCTCCTATGGTGTAAGTAATGGGCCCTGCCTGCTAGCCTGCTCCCTAAAATATCACTGGTAATTATTTCACTATTAATATACTTCTTCTTAATTGTATTTTACTATTAATATACTTCTTAATTGTATATCAGTTCAACAATTACATTGATAAAATACATATTTTGTTATGTGCAAATGGCTTTAGATACCTATTAGGTCCATAAATTACCATATAGCATATATTCAAACAGAAAAAAACAGCAACAAATTGTTGTTGACAAAGGACAGCTGGACATATAGGGGCCCCATTACCTTCAGTAGCTTAGGGCCTCATCAAACCTAAATCCGGCCCTGACTGAACCTTAAGAGCATTATTTAGACAAAATAAGGAAGGCAGAGCAGAGCTACTGTGGGAAAAACATCTGGGACTCACTGAACGGGGGGAAAACAGAATTGGATCATATGTCCTAGGTGGATAAGAACTGATGTAGCAGTTGAAAGCTGTGGCAGGCCTTGACTGTAGAAGAATAAAATTATGAAGGAATTAAAGAATTAAAGAAAGTTGAAATGGGCATGAGAAAGAATGAGCAAGTGAAGGTTGGAATTTGAAGATTGTGTTTGCAAGATAACTGTGAGAAAAGGACCAAACAACATGTGTGCAGTCGCGATTGCTTTAAGGGTTAAGGGCAAGGGAAGGCAGTAAAGATAAGAAAGTAGAAGCTAGCTAGTTATGACAAGATAAGGGAGTTATTAACAGAGTGGTTACAGTTTCACCAATTAAATGATATTTTTAAGATGGATAACAAGAACGGCTTTAGTTAAAGGGTGGTTAGAAAATAACATTAAATTGTTGTCGAAAATGTACAGTTTGCTCTTTGAGTGGCATACGAAAGATGAACAGGTTAAATCTGTAATGATACACTGGGCAAAGGATTTGGGACATAATATCCAGATGGCAGACTGGGAAAGGTTATGGAAAACAGATTTGAAATTTGTGGCATGTTGTACGCTGAAAGAAAATTATATGAAAATGATGTACCGGTGGTATTTGACTCCTAGTAAGTTAGCAAGAATGTATAGAACTAGTACAAATACATGCTGGAAATGTAAAAAAAGAGAAGATACTTTTTATCATATATGATTGTCGTGTAAGGTAATGAAAGCTTTCTGGGAAATGATATATAATGAAATGAAAAAATGTTTAAAATAACTTTTGTTAAAAAAGAAGCTTTTCTATTAGGAATTATAGGTACCGACATTCCAAAGGAAAAGAGAAGATTATTTATGTATGGGACAACAGCCCACGGATGTTACTAGCCCAGAGATGGAAAGAAGAAAGAGTCCCTACCAGAGAGGAATGGCAAACTAAGCTGATGGACTATGCTGAAATGACAAAGCTGACTGGAAAGCTCAGGAACCAAGAGGACAAAAACTTTTAAAAAGAATGGGAAAAATTCATAATATACTTAGGACAGCATTGCATGCAGATGGAAACATTAGCAGGATTTTAATCTCATTTGTAATGTAACAAATGTTATGGATGATATGGATGTTAGAATTCCTGCTCCGTGATTGCAGTCATGGGATTTTTGTCTATCACATGACGGCGTATATTTTGACTCCACAAAGTGGGAAGTGACGGAGACAGGATGTTTGTGTTACTGTGTTCCGTGAAGTGGGACTATTGTCCTTTGTTCTTTTTCTCTTTGCTGTCTGATGCTAGAGAGAGCGGGAGCCATGTTGCAGTGCTCCGTGTGTATTTATATGTAAATAAAATAGATTAGCCAAAATGCTGAATTGCTGAGGTCTGTCACGCAAGCTGTGAAGACTCTGCGGATCCCTAAGTGTGCCAGTGTCTGTTGACATCGGTCACTGTGATGTTCGGGCTGAAGATAGCTTTTGAAGCTCCTGAACGATTGACCAGGAGGGAGAGAACATGCCAGTCAGGCATGTGTCTCTGCCAGGGTCCTACTCGAGTGTAGGACAAGCTCCTGACAATGGATTGATATAAAATATAGATTAAGGAATAATATGCAGTTTCAAATGTTGGCAATAGGACCCATGAAGGGGATGGGGGAAGTCTCGAGATTCAGAGAATCTCCATATATGGATATGTATATGGATTGTTATAAAATTATATTTGTAAAACCAAATAAAAATGTTTAAAAAAGAAAGAAAGTAGAAGCTAGCAGAAGGAAGTATAACTATATATGGACAAGGCTTTCCTATGCTTGTAAATGTATAAATGCCTGTGCTTTTTCATATTTGGTGAGTTCAACAGTGGTTTGAAGATGAGTTGTAGTTAAGGTTTAACCACATTGTCCATGCTTGGACAACACAACAAACTGCAGTTGATCTAAAAGAGAAACAAAAGCATCCAAACTTGGCCTCATGTCCATGTCAGGGGAGAGGGTAGGGGAAAGCATATGAGCTTGGGGCAAGACTAGGCTCATTCTCATGATGTTGAATCATGGTTTAGATCAGGCATAGGCAAACTCGGCCCTCCAGATGTTTTGGGACTACAACTCCCATGATCCCTAGCTAACAGTACCAGTGGTCAGAGATGAAGGGAATTGTAGTCCCAAAACATCTGGAGGGCTGAGTTTGCCTATGCCTGGTTTAGATAATCTTAAGGGTTGACGAGATTCATAGTCCTCCTAAGCTGCCCTTTCTTAATACAATGCTTTCCAGGTATTGTTGGACAACACCTGCCATCATCCCTGACCACTGGCCATGCTTGCTGAGGTCCTGATGTAAAAAATATTGGACTACATGTACCACTGGATTTATTCAGTATAAAGGCAATCCTACAATCAGGTTATTGAAGGCCTGTAGGTCAGAATGCAACACCATTCACTATTTTGCAGCAAGGATTTCAGAAACCTCTAAGAAAAATAAAGGAGCCTATGCCTCAAACTCGGTTGTTTATGTTTCTGGGTCTTTTCTGGGGTTGTTTTTTTTGAAGAATAAAACAGTCTTGATCCTAATGGAAAGCAACGTCAGCTTCATCTGATGAAAATAATTCCTGATCTCTTTTTAACAAGCAGAATAGTTTTTGCCTGCGTCAGGAAAGAAGCAGTAAACTGCAGAGATGCCACTGGCATCGTCTGATGAAGCTGCCATGCAACTAGCTCAAAAGATAAATTGAATACTGTAGGCAGTGGGTTTCTTGTACAATACAATTATGTGGCCATCCAAATGACCACATAACGTACCTTTCTGACAGCGTGCCAGAAAAATGTCTGTCTGCACCGGAGATCTTTATCAAAGAGGGCAATTTCCCCTGTGACTTGTAGGACTTGTCTGCCTGCCATTTTGCTTCCCTTCATGTCATCCAGTTTAATATATTTCTAATGTCTGGAGGAGCGGGGAGTGTCCAAAGGCAGAGGCAGTTCACTCACCCTTTGCAGATACCAAGAATAAGGAAATAAGGAGAGCCCTGCTGGCCTGCCCAGCATCCTCTTTCCTGCAGTGGCCAACTAGACGCTTCTGGGAAGCCCACAAAGATGATGGGAAGACAACAGCCCTCTCCTGCTGTTGTTCCCCAGCAGGCTGCCTCTGATACTTCAGGAAGTACATAGTCATCCTTATAACCTTGCCCTCCATATATTTGTTTCATCGTTTAGTGAAGCCATATACTGTATTTTTCCATCTATAAGACGCCCCCATGTATAAGACGCCCCCTATTTTGGGGGACTCAGATTTAAGAAAATGGGGGGAGATGGCACAGAGTGTAAGATGCCCCCTAATTTTTGACATTCTTTTTTAGGGAACAAACCTAGTCTTATACACGGAAAAATATGGTAACTTGGTGGCTTCACTTGATAGGGCTGGATTTGACCCCTGCCCTAATACAAATGAGAATGAATGAATGTGTGTGTTTGTATATCTTCCGATATACATAAAAATGTAAGGCTGTCATCACACATGCCCCATTGGAGGCTTTGTAGTGCCACATCACAATCCTGGATTTGCATGAAGAAATCAGGCTGGGAAGCTGAAAAGCGAACTTAGTTTGGTAGGAAGGGAAAGTTCTAGGGATTTAATGGGGGGGGGAGTGGCAGGAGAGCTGGTGAATGGAATGAGCTTCAAGTTTCATAGATAGATAGATACACACACACACACACACACACACACACACACACACACATGTGTCCTGACTGCATGTAACACTAAGTGAAGCCACTGCCATTTTCCTTAAGTCTCAATTTTTTCTCAAATGTCAGTGCCTACTATAGTTACCCTGCAGTTTTTTTAATCAAGAGGAGGTGCAGATAATTATCAAGACTATAGCAGTTGAGGAGTGAGAGTTGCCTCTTTCCTCCTGAGGAAAACCCCTTCTCTGATTGCATTGGGAGTAAATACAAAGCATCATTCCTGTAAAGGAGGCTGAATGGAAACAAGGACTGTAAAGCACTTTGTACCGTAAAACATGCTTTAGAAACAGTCCATGATAAAAAGGCACGTTCTGAAGGTTTAAAAAACATGTTTTTCAAGAGTGAGCTGAGTAAAAAGAATGGAAAAAAGCAACTTGGGGCTTTGTTTTTTAATACTTAGAACCAGTGCTATTTTTCTAGAAAAAGAGGTGCCGGAACTCACCATGAACACCTCCCTCATTCTCCTAGAATGGCAATGGTGCCCACTTGAGAGGTGCCAGAACAGAGTGAAGCAACTTATGGATCGTGCTTCACATATTAGGCTTCTAATCACCAGCTTCATAGGGTGAATGAGCTATGCCGAGGTTCAAGGGAACTCATCATTTTCTCTTTTGCAGGATATGACCTACGCCACTTTATTGCCTGAAATTGGCAGGGAGCGTGCCCCTTCTCAGTGCAGTTTTGTGAGCATTTTCCCCAGTGCGGCAGGCTGCCCCTCCCCAAATAAGTGCTACTTGATAAGTCATCACATGAAATTAAAAGCCAGAGATAGAAAATCCTCCTTCAGGAGGTGGAGAATGGAGTGGTCAGGTAGACAAAGCAGAATTTTCCGGTCACAAATTGCATTCTTCTGCCAGAGAGATGCAGCTTGTGGCAAAAAGCAGAACAAACATCTGCCTCTTGTTTCCTGCCTAAGGTCACACACGCCAGCCTGTTAAGAGTCTCTAAGAGAAAGAATGTTGTCTGTCCTTTGACATCTTCCACTGGCCAGCATTAACCAGAGGGTCTCTATTGTATTCAGCTCCCATTAGTAATCTCAAGGAGAAAGTTACGTTCATTGGTTTGCACAGGTGTGAAGCCTGGTTATGGCTCAGAGGCTTCAGCCCTGGAAGCACCTCAACTCCAAAACAAACTTTCTGAGCAAAACTCCCAATGTTCTCTGCTAAAGAGCCAAGACAACAGTTTGGGTTCTGTAACTCAGATAACATTACATTGCCTCCCATCAGCAGTCCACACTCCCCAAAGACCCTAAAGTTGGAATCTAGGGAAAGTATTTGGACACATCTGCCAAGGGGTGGTGTTGACCATTTTTTGTATTGTTCCTGTGTCTTTAACAGCTGCTTGATGTGCACATATCGCCAAGTGAGAATGTTTATGTCCATGCATCTAAAAGCTTCCAGTGCTGATTTCTGCATGTCAAGCTGCTGTTAAGGGCACAAGAGCGAAGTAAACCAGATTTTCTTTTTTCACTGGTGAATGCTACCTAGGTCAGGTGAAAGACTGGCTCACTTGTAAGCATAATTGATTATATTTGCATTCACTTCCAGAATGCAAACATTTGATTGAAGGTGCTATAAGTCACCATGACATCATTTGTCTGGCATGGAGGAGAAAGGAATGGAGATGTCTCATCAACAAGTTTCTTTGGAGAGACTTCTTGGATGTTGCAGAGACTTGACTGCTTCCAAACTGGCCATTTGGGGTGGCGGTGACGGGGGTGGGGTGGGGGGAGAACCATGCTAGATTCACATACTTTTCATGAGGCGATTGCATGACATCATAATAAAACATTCTGCTCCCATGTTTTCCCTGCTCAACCTCTGGGTTCCCCCTGACCTCCAGGCTCAGAAAATCCAACTTTTTATTATTATTTTACAGAGTGAAACACCTGGTAGAAGCTCTCATTATTGTAAGATCACTCACCCCAATATCATTAATCTCAGCAAGGAGCTAAATCAGCTCAGCAGCACCCAGCCTGCTCATTGATCAGCCAACTGAAGTGAATTAGCCACTTTTGCTGGAGACAATGTCCCTGAGTTTGCGTAATCCCTACCACCTGTCTCAATACAGTGGTACCTCAGGTTACATACACTTCAGGTTACAGAGTCTGCTAACCCAGAAATAGTACCTCAGGTTAAGAACTTTGCTTCAGGATAGGAACAGAAATCGTGCTCTGGCAGTGCGGCGGCAGCGGGAGGCCCCATTAGCTAAAGTGGTAATTCAGGTTAAGAACAGGTTCAGGTTAAGAACTGACCTCCAGAAGGAATTAAGTTCTTAACCCGAGGTACCACTGTATCTTGCATTGCTGGGATGTTAAAATAGACTTGTTGGCACTAATTTCACTGAATGCTCTTAGGCCTGCTGGCGTTTCCACACTTGAGAACATAGGAAGTGCTCTTCCTTATCATTACATCTTCATATCTGGAATTAGGAGAAGAGGCTTCCAGGGCACAACTCGAGGTTTCCAAAACAGCACTTTTTGCCTCCTGTGTTTATGAAACATGTTTTTGCTGATTGCGTCAAGTGTTCCTGCTGCAGGCATTTAAGATCGGAGGGGAATGGAAATTATATTTAAAGGGCAGTAACCGAGCTGCCCATTCTGTGGTCTGAGGCTTGTGATGACTTTGGAAAGTGCTTTAATTTTAACTGTGCTTTATGCCATGGGTAGGCAAACTAAAGCCCGGGGGACGGATCCGGCCCAATCACCTTCTAAATCCAGCCCATGGACAGTCCGGGAATCAGCGTGTTTTTACATGAGTAGAATGTGTGCTTTTATTTAAGATGCATCTCTGGGTTATTTGTGGGGCATAGGAATTCATTCATTTTATTCCCCCCCAAAAATATAGTCCAGCCCCCCACAAGGTCTGGGGGACAGTGGACCGGCCCCCTGCTGAAAAAGTTTGCTGACCCCTGCTTTATGCAGTACAGTGGTACCTCGGGTTACATACGCTTCAGGTTACATACACTTCAGGTTACATACGCTTCAGGTTACAGACTCCGCTAACCCAGAAATAGTACTTCAGGTTAAGAACTTTGCTTCAGGATGAGAACAGATATTGCGCAGCGGTGGCGCGGCAGCAGCAGGAGGCCCCATTAGCTAAAGTGGTGCTTCAGATTAAGAACAGTTTCAGGTTAAGAACGGACCTCCAGAACGAATTAAATACTTAACCCGAGGTACCACTGTAGTTTAATTGCATTATAGTACTTGTAAATTCTCATTGTGAACTGCTCTGGGATACATTTGTATGAGTAGTATACAAATGGGACTGAAATAAGATGAACACAGCTCAAGTGAGCCCACCTACAGGAAGTGGAAGCAAGGCCTAATGGCAGGTACCTCAGGAGTCTTTGGGAACTAACAAAATCAGAACACATCCACCATTAGGACTGGGTAAATCTGTCAATTTCAGTTGCTCTCCGTTTCTCATTTTTCCATTATTCAGTGCTCCACATTTCTACATCTGTTTGTGATATATATTACAAACTGATGCAGAAATGAGGAGAACTGAACACACACAATTTATTCAATTTATATACCACCCTTTATCAAAAGATCTCAGGGCAGTGTACAGCTCTTTCTCTCTCTCTCTCTCCATTGACATTTCAATGAAATTTTCTCACAATATATAAATTTTAAAATTAAATTTTGCCTTATATACATTTTTGCGAAGAAATTTTCCCTAATATAATGTACTTTTGTATATTAATATTTTCCCTACTATTTTTATGCACATTTTATCTTAGTATATGCGTTTTTATACACACTACCTGGCTGGAGACCTGCACTGCAAAATTCACCGACGTGGAAATTTCGAAAGATGGCTGTGTTTCAATTTATGTATTGGTTTGGAAAGTGCAAATTAAGTAGCTTTGCCTTTAAGTGTGAAGTGAAACAATTTCTCCCCTACCCCTGTCCACAGTTTCCATGTGGTTTAAAAATTACCTTTGTGTTTAAAACACACCTTTTGAAAATTTGAATAAAAGTGGGGTTTTGCAACTTAAAAAATTAAAACCTTTGGGAAGATATAACTAAATATAAGGACCATATCTCAGTGGCATGGACCATATCTCACATGTTTTGCAGACACAGAGCAGTATCCAGCTAACTCATTCATTCAGTGGAAGAGTTTCCGTTTGTACAATGGAACTTCCCCCACTCGTCTCCCTGCCCTCTGCTGTAGAAGGTTGGAGGAACTCTCAGAACAAATGTTGCTCTGTTGTGCAAGTTGAAATGCTTGCATTGATGGAATGACTTAGGTGGATACCACCTAATCTCCTAACTTCACTGCCCTGGCATCTTCAACTAGGACAATGAAAGTCTCTTCTGAAGCCCTGGAGAACCACAGCCACTCAATGCAGACAGTGTTGAGTTAGGTGCACCAATGTTCTGGCCTGGTATAAGGCTGCCTTTTATATTCCAGTGAGAGTTGAGGTCAATTGAAACTGTCCTTCTTCTCATCAACTGTCTGATTCCAGAATCTCCCAGTTGGGACCAGTAGAATGGACCACCTTGGAAGGTGGTGAACCCTCCACCACTGGAGGTCTTAAAGCAGAGGTTGGATTTTAAATGGAATTATTTAGCTGTGATTATTGCTTTTCAGGGGATTAGACTAACTCTACAGTTCTATGATCCTTTTCATAATCAAGCTTGAGCACATCTCCCATACTCCCAATAGAAGACAAAGCTGCCAGGAAAACAAACCCTATCTATTTCTTCCTGCAGATTCCCTCAGGAAAGAGAAGCTTTTACGTAGGAGTTTTCCCCTTACATAAAAGGTAATTTGCAGCTTAATAGGTTATTTGCAGCTGAACATGCATTAGAGATTTAATGGGGCATTTATGCCCACCCCCACCGGGCCAGCCAAAGACATTTCAGTACCTGAGGCGGACCTCCAAAATTATGCCTCCCCACCAAAGAACATGGGAGGCAGGGAAGATCTACATCAGGAACAGAGAAGAGATTGACATCAGGATCTGCTGCCCACGGTGAACCCTGTTGCCTGAGGTGGTTGCTTCATCTTGTCTCATGGGCTCTGTGTCCCCCTCTTTCCATTTCTTTATATCAGTGTGGGATTTTTGTTTGTTTGATTTTGTTTTTCCTTCTAGCAATTAAAAATTGGAGTAGAGAACCTGTGGCCCTTTGTTGGACTACAATGCCTACCATCCTGACAATTGACCATGCTGGTGGGAGCTGGAGTTCAACAACACCTGGAGGGCCACAGGTTCTCCATCTTTTAAGTAAATGCTACTTTTCATGGGATGTGGGTGGCGCTGTGGGTTAAACCACAGAGCCTAGGACTTGCCGATCAGAAGGTCGGCAGTTCGAATCCCCGCGACGGGGTGAACTCCCATTGCTCAGTCCCTGCTCCTGCCAACCTAGCAGTTCGAAAGCACATCAAAGTGCAAAGATAAATAGGTACTGCTCTGGCGGGAAGGTAAACGGCGTTTCCATGCGCTGCTCTGGTTCGCCAGAAGCGGCTTAGTCATGCTGGCCACATGACCTGGAAGCTGCACGCTGGCTCCCTCGGCCAATAAAGCGAGATGAGCGCCGCAACCCCAGAGTCGGTCACGACTGGACCTAATGGTCAGGGGTCCCTTTACCTTTACCTTTACTTTGCACATACATTTCATGGCCTTTACTGATTAGCACTTCTGCAGGTGAGCAGCTACCTGCAAGCCACACTGAGAATTTTATGACCTCATATTGATGGTTACCAATTCAAAGTGACTTGTATGATCAACATGGGTAGCATCTCCTTCCCTAGAACTATCTTCTTCTAGTCTGGTACTATCATCACCACAGGGAAACTCTGCTTGGAGATAGCTTAGCATTGCAATAGTTGTCTGTATTCAGAAACAGGAGTCCCAACACAAGTGCAATTCAGGGAAGGGGAATTATGAGTTAAGGAATGGGACTAGGGGAGAGCTCACAGGACACCTAATGTCCTGAGACCAGGTGGGACCAGTTTCTGCAGATTGCATTGGGGAGCAAGCACCACTGTAATTTGTCACACAGCTGCCCTGTACGAAACACGTATGCTGCAGGCAAATACTCACTTGGAAAATGGTAACAATGAAGTGATGGTCTGGAGTTCCAGTGCTATTGCTACTGCCCCTGCCGTTAATACTACTACAACTGCAAACTCCATAAAATTTATTAGCCCACCTGCTCAGACACATCTACTACTACTAGTAGTACTGCTGCTACTACTACAAACTTGCAAATATATTCATGAAAGTTAGTTGCTCACCTGCTCAGACACATGTACTAGTGCTATTGCCAACTTGCAAATATATTAATAAAACATATTAGTCCACCAGCCCAGAGACATTTATGTATGCATATACGGAGAAATAAAGTTCTCTAACTAGTTGTCACTTTGTTTCATAACATGTTCTTTTGCATTTTTATTGAGAGCTAAGTTCCAGTGAGGTCAACGAGACTTACTCCCAAGTACGCATGCTAGGGTATTTCTGCTCCCGTCTATTCCCTATGTCACATTTCCTACAACAAGGCAATTGCACTAGGAACCAGATAACTGTTGTTTCTTTTCATAACCATAACTGTCTTCTGCAGCCTTTCCAAAACTAGAATCCATCTTTCCAGCCTGCAACTTGGGAGCCACTTCAATTGTTTTTACACTTTTATCTCTCTGTTTTCCTCCTCTTGTCTCTTTCATTTGAAAAAAGAAAAACCCAAAGCACAACAAAAGGAAACGGTTCTGGCAATGCTGCAGGCACAACCCATATGGGTCCTGATCCAGCAGTTAAAGATCATCATTCTACGTGCATCATCCCAAACATGAAGGGTCCACAACTCATTGAAACTGGCTGCCATCACTAGCCAATGACCCATTAGTAGCTAGCAGAGCAATCCTGTGCCTGCTTACTCAGAAGTAAGTCCCCCTGTGTTCAGTGGGCCTCACTGCCTTTTACAATCACGTTTAGAACTGTAAATTTAGTGACCCATGCCTCTGACATTTATGTAACCCACTGGCAAGTCCTGCCTTGGCACCCTAACTTTAATACTATCAAAATCAGCTGTGTGTGCCCATCCATTGTGAAAGAGGCAAAGGGACTGTGTGTGCGTCTGTGTGCATGTTGACTCCCAACAAGTAATTGCATTCATCGATAAAAGCTGTCACTGCAGTGCAGTAAGTAGAAATAACAAGCCCTTTGGGAACAAAGGGACACACTGAGGGAAGGCTGTAGCTCAGTGGTACAGCATCTGCTTTGCATGCGCACGGTCTCCGGTTTGATCCCTGTCATCTCCAGGTAGAGATGTAGAGTGCTCCCTGTCTAAAACCTTCATGGACCCGTGGTCTAACTTGGGTTTGAGACAGCTTCCAATGTTTCTAAATAAAGCAGAATTTTTGTAACACAGAAAAAGAAAAGTCCATTAGTAACTGCAACTGGGAGCTAAGAAAACTTTTGGGGAAATTCCACCGTTAACAAAGTTATGAAGTCAGAGAGAAGCAGAAGTACATACCTTTCTAGCAAAGACTTGGGTAGCTCTGGGAGCACTGGGGCTGGCTGCGGAGTGCCTTTGTGAATGTTTCTGAGGAGTTTTCTTGTGGTTTCCGAAGAGTACTGAAGCAGCTCCTCCCTCTGTCATTGAGACTGTTACACACTTCCACACCCACCCCTTTTAACGCAGCTGCTTTTGGCATGATGAAGTCACCGGCATTTGACTTCATAGCAGGAATAAATAACACCCAAATCACTCCCAGGATGTTGATAAACTAATTTGGCAGCCCAGTGTGGTCACTTCACTATGCTGGACTAAGTATGCTCTGACGTGATTTTTGTAAAAAAAAAATTAAAGCAGAAGATAATAATAAAAATCTTTATTTATGCAAGCATCTTTTTCACTGTGGTTTTTCAGACAGACTTAAATGTAACTCTCTTTCTTTTCTCAGGAGAAACATAAAGGTGGCCGATTTTGCTTTTTAGACCATGCCCATAGAAAACCAGTGATACCCAGGTCAGTGGAACAATATAAAGTTTGCAGTTGGTGTGTGTGTGTGTGTGTGTCTGTCGGTTAAAGGGAGGGCTTATTTTTAGGAGTTTGTCCACAGACACCTTTCCAGGTCATGTGGCCAGCACGACTGATGAGCGCCGCACCCCATCGTCGCCTTTGACTGGACTTAACCGTCCAGGGGTCCTTTACCTTTTATCTTTCCAGGAGGAGGGCCAACCTAAGGCATTTTGGTCAAGATACCCCCTGCCACTATCGGTAAATGTACAGAAGCCAATTGGACAGTCAGCTAATTCTCACTTCAGTTTTGGCAATAGGGCAGTGAGCTGTGAACAGCAGCTGGTTTAGGAAACTGGGGGCAGACTGTGCAGCACACACGGCTCCATCCTTCAGTACCTCATTGCTGCTCCTTGACCCCCAGCATTGGCTGCCTTGAAGCAGCTGCCTCACATTATCTAATGACAGGGCTGGCCCTGGTCAGGTGTTCAATTCCCTCCCTTGACTGCTTAACTTTAAGATGCTGTTCACTAACCCTCAGTACTTGCTTTGATACTGTTGTGTTGTGTTTGTTTGTTTGTTTGTTTGCTTGTTTAAAAAACTGTATCTTCCTTCTACAGATAGTATTTCCAGCCTGTCGGGGATCCTGTGAATAGTATAAGGTTGCTATGGCATCAGATTTGGCTTTATGATGAGGCAAAGCTCATTGAGAGTGAGGGCAAAACATGCTGAAGGTATGAAAGCTTTCTGCCCTGGGTTATTGTTTCGTTGTTTCTGTTACTATTTATTTGTGCTTTTATCTGGTGGTTTTTATCTTGTGAATTGCCCTGAGGCCTTTTGCTGATGGGTGGTATACAGATCTAATAAATAAATAAGTCAGTCTGTGGGGAGGGAATTCTGAAAGGGAGGCGTTATTTCCTGTGGAGAGGGAAGTGTTTCCGTTCCCTTTTGCTTCAGCCTAAGTTGTGACTGACTTGTTCCATTAATTTCAACAATATTTAAGTAAGGTCAACTAATTTTGACTAGCTAAGCCCCGCTGAAATAGTGGGACTTACTTCTTAGTAGATAGGAGGATGGGACTTCTAGTTTGTTTTTGTTGTTTTTTTAAAAAACCCTCACAAAATTGAGCTTCAGTTTGAAAAACTAAGCATTATTATGTGATGTTGACATAAAAATCCTTTATGGCATATGGCGGTCTTGGGAGCCATGCTGCTGTGTTACATAAATGGTAGAAATGGGTTTTCTTTTAGGCTTTGCTATAGACCAGGTGTTGCCACCATCCTGTCCTGTAGCTGTTTTTGAACTTCGGCTCCTGACTATTGGCTATGCTGGGAATGATGGGAGCTGTAGTCCATCACCTGGAGGTGAGGACTACAATGGCAGTGCCATTGGGGCAGGGCTTTTGGGTGAACGGCCAGGGCCACACTCAACAGATTGAGCAGGAGTGGTCTCCCCCCCCCCCACCAGTGCTGCATGGCTGGCTTGTTACATCTTGAAGTGAGTGAACTACACACAATGAGACCATGAAGACCACTGTCTAAAATTACCTAAATGCACCACACTTACAAATTCTTAAGAGCTGGTGGGCAGTGGTGCAACAAGCTCCATTTCCCCTTATTTAATGTTAATTCCTCTTTCCACTTTTTGCCTATAAATAGGAAAACACCCGTGTGCTTGTTTTCCTGCTAGACTTCCTGCTAGACTCCAAAAAGCCCATTGGATTTGAAGGAACCTGAATTGTTTCAGAGCCAGCTGTGTCTGCTATGGGACTCTTGACGTTTCTGTTCTCAATCTGTCCGTTTGCAGAGATAGACAGGTTATTATAAAGACAACAAACATCTCCACAGTGCTTTCCTCCATAGGAAACAAACTCTTGCCAAAGTTGCCTTCAACTTCCCACTCCTCTGGCAAGCATCATAGAAACGTTTCAAACATGTTGATAATTGAGAAAGGCAATACCAACCTTTGTGGAGTGGAAGCATAATAGATTAGTAGTTTGGACTACTGACTGCAACAAGCAAAAGGCCCCAATTCAGCTATGTGCATCTGCAGCTCTAAATTAATGTTCCCCTGTATGAGAGATAGGAATGTCTGTGCTAAATTGCCAAAATTAATTGCATGTTCAGACCCAGAAACCTCCCCCCCAAATAAATTCACACTTGACTCAAATTTTTGGTTTGGTTTTTGGCAGAATTTAGGCCACAACTCTATTGATCACAGAAAGTGACTGGTTGCATAGGCTCTGGTTCGACCATCTCCCTGCCATGCAGGTAGCGCTGACCCAGGGTTCCAGCATAGGTCAGCCAAGGGTGAACACCTGGATAAGCAGAAAACTGGGCACGGGCTAACTCCACCACCCAAATGTCCCCCTGGACTCAGGCATGGGCACAATCCCCTCTCAGGGGTTGACCAAACCATTGAGTCCCTGGATTCCTTTAACGGAATACCCTTCACATAGGGATGGCGAGAGCATTCTCCCATCCCTATCACCTGAACCAGAGCCTATCCACAACCTTACAAGTTGTGACGATTTGCTACGTGGCAGGCGAAACCCAAATGGCAACAGCCAATCAGCCAAGTGGGGAAAATTCCTGCCGTGCCCCTATCCCAACGACAGACGACACATGACGGCATAGCAAGGTCAAGCGCAACAAGCCCTAAAAGTCGGGAGAGGTGGGTGGGTGTTCCGAATGCATGTGCCGAAAGAGGACGCTCTGGGTCACGTGCATCAAACCGTTTGGACTGCATCCCATTGGCCAGATTGTACCCAGCTTCGAGGGACCTACCAATCGGGTGTTGCGGCTTACCAAATGTTCCCACCCACAACACAGGGTGTCGGTTGTCCAGGTCTCACCACAATATGTGCCCTCTTTAAGGGAGGACCTGATATACAGTCTTTCTTGTCGGGCAACTGGTGTCCAGTTCTAGGGGCAAAACTGAATGCAGCTGTCATTCCTAGATATTTGGCTCATCCTAGATGTGCATTGCTTCTATAGCAATCCCAGACTTGCCCTATGCTATATCTCAGACAAGGTAATGGCAGCTATTGATTATGGTGGACTGAATCCCTATGGCTAAGCTGGTGAAACTAGTCGAATCCATTTACAACTGAGCCAAGAAGAGTAAGGACTCTCCAAAGGACTCTAGGAATGTCTCAAGTTAATGTGGAAAGATGCCACTGAGAGAAAGAGTGGTATTGTGGTTAGTGTTGGACTAGAACCTAGGAGACTAGGATTCAAATCTGCACCCGGTCATGAAGGTTAATGGGGTGACCTTGGGCTATTCACTATCTCTCAGCTTAACCTACCTCACAGGGTTGCTATGGAGATTGAATAAGGAGAGGGAGAACCATGTAGGCCACCTTCGAGCTCCTTGGAGGAAAAGGTGGGATACTAAAATATATATAATTAAACAATTGGTGGATATCTTTTATCAATGATTGATGCAAATTGCTTTAGTTTGTTGAATAGCTTCATTTGTACAGATCATAATCTGTAGATCTATTACTCAGCAATTAATTAATTAATTAATTAATTAATTAATTACCAGCCCTTCACTGTATGGTCCCAGGGTGGGATACAGCATTTAAAAGAATATTTAAAACAATTCAAAGCAACTCACAACCACAAAAAGGAGGCAGGTGAGTCTTAGAAACATCAAGTTTTAACCTCAAGTGTTAAAAGTCTGAATAAAAAGCATTTTTTAGCATTCGCTAAAAACTGTATAATGAAGGCATCAGATGCACCTCTGTACTGATGTATTGTTCTTTTTCTTCTTTCTTTCTAAATAAAGTATCAAAAAATATATGGGGAAATTGCACCCTCACCCCTTTGGAATACTGTATCCCACTTGCTTGTTTAGCCAAAGGGTCTAATCCTTTCGGAATTTGATAACTGTTCCATTCCGTGCCAGGAAGGTAAGCCAACTGTGCAATCCCCGGCCCTCAATCACTGCAATCTCAGTTATTCAGACACATCTCTCCTCTGACTGGTTCTACGTATCTTTCTCTACATTCCACAAGTTAAAAAAAGAAAAAGGGCTTGCCTTCTTAAAAGCTTTGAGAGGTTGTCATGGCAGATCCATTAATTCCTTTTGGCATTGCGAAAGTAGGTTTCACAGCTTATTAAGTGTGGGAACACACGGCAGGTGACTTCAGAGTCCATTTGTCCCATATTGATAGGGCTATTAGTATTCTCCTGGGGCCACGAAGGACATCTGTGGACATCCGGTGATGCACATCCGATGGACTGTCAGATGCATTTCAGCACTGGTCCCTAACACACACTTCCCAATTGTTAG